GGACACCTACACAACGGAGCGCCAGTCTGCAGTGCAGAAATTACTCAACTACGACAAAGACATCTCTTTGTTGATGACGCATAAATGGCCGGCTTGGTACGATGGGGACCCGCACGCGGACCCGAACGTTCTCCTCGGAGAAATATTCAACAATGCTGCACCATTCAACACGGGACTCGGTATATCCTACGAGGCCAACGTAATCAACCAACCCTGGGTGTCATCTACCGAGGCGGCTGTGGGGGTTCAACCAGGGACCCGGGCTCCGGATACCGAGTTGACCACGCCAGGGACATTCCAGTCTGTGCGGATGCACCAAGTTCTGCGGAATCGGTGCCAGTTTCATGCGATAGTGTTTACAGGCGGTGATATCAAGACAGCGAAATCGGATTTGGTTCCTCTTCGGGAGTACTTGGATAGCCACCCGGAGCTTGCAATGCACCCGGCCATTGCCTGGTTAACAGTGTGCGGCTCAGCCGGCTGCTCGCCGTACGAGGTACTCGGGATGACAGGATTCGGCGATACCTATTTCGACGCGAGGGGGATCGCGCACTACGCCTATAAACTCTATTCACGTAAAGCAATGCTAGTGGTGATCCGACCAGACGGGCTGATAGCATTCACATGTGCATTAGACGGAGAGACGATCTGGCAACGTTTTTCTAGGATACTGAAGAGCCAACCGCAGAAGACTTGCTAATGATACCCATAAACCAGACCGTTCACACAATACAAACAGACCGAATCAAACACACCCCCTCCTCAAATTCTCAAACCGACTCAGCGGATAATACAACGTATTCTCCGTACCATCCAACCCACCCAACCTGCCCAACCTCTCCGCAGTCCCCCTGACCAAGCTCCTCTCATGCGAAACATGATGATCCCCACTCAACTCCCACCACATAGCCCCTCCCAAGTGCCTGTTAGCAACATAATCCGTCTTCATAGCCGCCACCTCCGGCGTGTCATAACTAACCATCTTCCTATTCACCGGATCATGGCACCAGCTCGCCATCAACCTCGGATCCACCATCTCCCTACTCCCCTTCAACGGCAAATCCTTATAATCCCACACCCCATTCTCCCAACTCCCCTCCCCAACCCCCTGGAACCCAGCCCCAGGCCCATCCGTCCCCTCAAACGCCCTCCCATACAGCGGCAACCCAAAAATAATCTTCCTCGGATCCCTCACCCCGCCGTTCAAATACATCGTCACCGCCCCATCCGCACAAAACGGCGTAATCTCCCCCCTCCCCGAATGGAACACATTCGCCATATGTCCGGAGTTCTTATCCCAACTCCCACTGAAATCATAACACATCAGATTCCAGAAATCAAGATAACGGTCCATATCGCCGATCCGCAGTTTCCGGATATTATCCGGCCCACATGGCGCCGCGATGGTCAATAACAGCCTTTTCCCGCCGAGATGGGTAGCGGAGTACTCGTCCAGCACCCGCCTGACATCCTTGAGTAGGATAACAAAGTCCTTTGCTTGCGATGCATCAGCTGGATACTCCCAATCGATGTCGATGCCGTCGAAGCCCAGGTCCGCGAGGAGGTGCACGGCGCTGCGGGCGAAGGTTTCGCGCCCGCGCGGGGTGGATGCTGGCGCGGCGAAGTTGGGACTGTAAGTCCAGCCGCCGATGGAGAGGAGGGTTTTGAGGTGCCGGTGTTGTTGCTTTAGGAGGTAGAGTTGCTTGATGCAGCCGTAGGCGTTGGTGCCGGGCTCGGACCAACTGTCGTTGGGGTAGTGCTTTTCGAGGTCGGAGTAGGTGTCGGTTAGGAAGCTACACGATACAAATGTTAATCAAGAGCCTGGTTTGAAAGTTTGGGGAAGGGGACGTACACTTCGCCGGTCGGGCGGATGTTGGCGAAGGAGTCTATTGAAGTTAGAATAAGAACCAAGGTTGAATCGAGACCCAATACAATCGGCACGTACAGAGAATATGGGTAATATACTCCGCAGGAATATCCTGAGGTTGATAATTGCGGCCGTAGACGCCCTGTCACAATCCATTAGTTTCATATTACATTAATTACATTGATTGAAAACCATAGTAAGGGATGGTGATGTTTACCCAATTAGTAAAATACCCGACAGTCTTATACCCCGGTCTCCCGACATTAATCCACGGAGGCGGCGGACGGGCCATCGGAGGACGTGGGGGAACCGCGGGCGGTGCTCCTCCTCCAGCAGCAGCGCTTGGAACAACCGGCGGCCCCGGAGGACAGACAGCAAGGTGGATAGGAGGATCGGAAGGTGAGAAATGGCTAGCGCCATCGCCGGGAATTCCACGACTCTCCGGAGGAGGCGGAGGAGGCTGAGACTGATCAGACCCCGGGATATTCAGCTGTTGCCCCGGATAGATAAGATCTGGGTTGGTGATCTGCGGGTTGGCTGCTCTGAGGGCGTCGAGAGTGACGCCGTGGTCTTGGGAGATTTTCCATAGTGAGTCGCCGCTGGCGATGGTGTAGGTGGACATTATGGGATATGGAGTATGAAGTATAGAGTATGAGGATGAGAGGGAAGGAAGAAAGGAAGGAATGATATCGATTGATGATTGTTTGAGTGGGTAAGCAAGCAAGCATATAAGGCTGTTGTGGTTGTTGAATATATGTGGCACCGCCCGGTTGTGGCGCGGGGGTGGTTCAGGGGTCCTTTTCATACGCTTTACTGTGTTGGGTTTAGTGGGCACACACACAGCCTTGGGGTATTTTTAGATTTTGGAAGGTGGGAGGGGGAGGGTTGGTGTGATGTCATGGGTTTTGGTGGTAGGCAGACATTTATTCATATGAGTGGCTAGTACTGTTGGGGAATAGTCTGTTGGATTTTCTTGAGGTGGAGATGGCATCGGAGAGAAAGAAAATTGCTGAATATCCGAGGAGCATGTTTCTGCATTTCCGGGAATATCAATTGTTGAGACATTTACTGTAGCCAGGCATTACTTGATCCTCCACTATCTCTTCCAACACCTGCCAATCATTATATTGAGAATCTATATAATACAGTAGTACATTTGAACTACATACTTTCATTTTCCGTCCTCAGACTAGCCAAAGGTTTCAAGGCTGCTGTAACGAAGACAAGTGTATGTGTGAAGCACGAGAAAGACATGCTCCAGAGTAGAGTTAATGAATCACGATGAAATGTTGTCGTGAGATTCACCAGGAATTATTTGTAGATATTTGCGGAGCTCTGCACTTATCGCATAGCTTGTCTGGAATTCAATACCCTAGAATAATACCTCAAGTGCCGGCGATGAAACCCCTGAGGAAAGAGTATGATGACAGACCTCCTGCACTTGTCTTCGAGAACAATCCTTGTCATATTGCATTAAAAGAAGGGTCATTCAGAACCGGATCCTCGCGACGACGGTTTTGCCGCTGCTCTTTGTGATACTGGGAAACTTCTCGACTAAGGCTATCATCGAGGACTCAAAGGAGCGATAGAGCAAATATCACCACTCAAAGACAATAGAAGTGATAGATAGCTTCAGCTAACCTACACGTGTAACAGACTTAGACAAGCACTGATCAGCCTATCTCACTAATATTGCGGATCGAAGATTAAGGACGAGAATACCCTGTACCCGTGTTTACTATCTACACGAGATGGTATTGTAGCACCGAATAGACCAGGGATGCGTGAGATTCTTTGACGAAGCCTTGGGAGGAATCCCGGGTTGAACGGGCCCCTAATGCAGATCTTGGTGGTTCTTGTAGCAATTACTCGAATGAGAATCCTGGTGACTGAAGCGAGGAAAGGTTCCGTGTAAACCTAAATGGTTAGGTTCGTAGCATGACGGATATGAATGGTTGAGAACCGGAGTCTGCAGGCTTATGACTCAACAAAACCACATCCCGAAATGATCGTCGCATACAATCAATATATCAATATCAATGATTGGTGAAAGGACTAAAAAGATATCCCGCAAAGCCACCACGATACAATCATCTGATTCATATGTACTCGCAAGTTAGTTCATTGTTTTACGAATAAGCAATTACCGATAGAAGCCCTTAAACTCCGGTAGATCTTGCATCACAACATATCCAGGTGCTATGGTCACACCCTCCAGACATGCTTCATTGCCTCCCAATATGTTTCACCGTTCATATCTGATATCTCTTTCTGGAAAGTCAGAGCGTTGCTTTAATGTAGATTTTCTTTCTTTTTTTCTGAAATGCATCCTGCCCAGTGTGTCGATCGCCTGACTGTTCGATAAGCAGTCATCTTCATCATTGCAACTTGAACAGGTGAGGAAAGCCTGAGGAGTGAAGATAACGTTTCTTTTGAGTTCAGCTTGATCCTTTCACCATAATCACTGGACTTATTATGTTCGTTCACAGGAATGCAAGAGATATGTCGCGAAACAAATTATAGTGAAACCATCATCATAGAGAGGGGAGCTCTAACATTTGTCTGTAATCTTCACATAGGTATATTCCTTCTTCAGTTGTCATGTTTACTTTTTGTGTTTGAGTTTAAGCCTCAATTCCAATATTGTTTTATTTGCTTTTTTCACCCGCCTAAAATATCAGACTAGAGACTACTGCGTCCCCAAAACGGCATGCACAGACACTTGGTTCCGTGCAATGGCCACCGAAGGACCAAACAAGGAATGGTGAATACTAGTAGGCAATATCATGGGAGACTATTACTGTCAATAGCCACGTTTCGTACCGTTCTGGACGTATATCGGCTGACAATAGCCGATGCTCGTTTCCACATTTGGGAAGCTTTCTCTTGAGGGTCCTTCAATCCCCTGAAAGTTAAGGGAAGAATAGCCGCCGAATATGTACTGTGGTGGAGTACGGAGTATCTTGATCCGTGTATTTCGAGAGAAACTACAAATTTATGCTCCTCGATTACCAGCTCATAGGGTATATAAGCAGTACACCGTCCTGGAGGGCCTGGTGTCATGGACACAGTTGCTCATCATCTCACACACAAACTAGTTCGTTCCCAAACCAGAACTCTTATACTTCAAACAATGTCACCAGTCGACATTTCCTTTATGCATTCTGAGCTCGTTGACAGGGAGGAAGTTGCTCGTGTATGTGCAACTACCCTTCCTGTTCGTAAAAGCAAGTACAGTTATCTGGCAGAGAAAGCAGTCTCCGAGTTCCAGCAGCGGTGGCAGGAGGAAGTCGCCTTCACATATTGTGGAGGAAGTTCTCCGCAGGGCCCCGTTACTGCCTTCTTTCCACCGGAATGTAAACAAGATCGTGTCGAGGTTTTCACAAAACTCATCGAGTACTTTTTTGCTCATGATGGTCAGTGATTGTTGATACGATTGCTATCATTGTTGTTTCCAACAGGGAGCATAGCTTTTTCGTACTGAGGGTCTGACTTTGACAGATGTGCTCGGGGCTTCCGGATGTGCTGAGGTAGGAATGGGTGGTGTAAAGGATCAAGTCGTGCCAAAAGGCTTGATAAATTAATTCTCGATAGGTCGATGAAAACGAATCGACAGACGCAGTTGGATGGGGCATTCGCAAAGGCACGATCAGCAGTGTCCGAACCAGCGCAATGAAATCAATTCAGTCCGAAGTGCTTTTGCGTCTTGTGGAAATCGACAGGAAACGCGGAAACCTCATCCTTCGAGCTATCAAGAACATATCCCAGGTTCACGAGACGATAGGCTCTCGGGATCTCAAGACTTGGGATGATCTAGTGCAGTATCGTGTTCAGGATTTCGGAGCAGAGTATGTTCCCTAGTCACCGTGGTTTTGGCGTTCTGCGCCATATGAGTTACTGATGTCATATCAGATTGAATCTGATGTCGATTATCTATTGCTGCGAGCTGGATCTCACGCAAAGCGATATTGATGCACTGGAAAAGGTTTGGTGGCCTGCAACTGCCGCGGCGGCGCTGGTCAACGATCTGTATAGCTTCAATAAGGAGGTCATCCTGGAGCTCGCTACGGATATAGATACGACTATCACGACGCCAAACTCAATTTGGTACTTGATGAGAACACTCAATTTGACCGTGTCCCAGGCAAAAACATTCCTGAGTGACAAGATTGCGCAGCTGGAAAAAGACTTTATAGCGAGAAAATCCGAGCATCTAGCCCAGATGAATTCAATGTCTTCCGGAACAGACGATGTCCGTTACTTCCTGGAGATGGTTGGCCTAGGTTTATCTGGAAATTGGTACTGGCATGCTTTAGCTGATCGTTTCCATCGATGGGCTGAGTATCTACAATTTCCGCCCGCCAAGTTGTTCGATTACGACGAAGCCACAGCAACCTGCGCTACATTTTTGACCAGCCAATCTCTGGGAGCCAGAACTAGTCGGATTCGGAAATCCACTGAGGACACGCCGACAATGACGGATGAACCATACTATAAGGTTGGCTGCCACATCGGTGACCTTTAGGTTGCTGTCGCGAATAAGCAGGGAAGCTGACACTTCCCGAACAGGTACTCCATCAGCCGATTGATTATCTTCGGAGTGTACCATCGAAGAATATAAGAGGCACCATCATTCAAGCGTTGAATCTATGGCTCAACGCACCGGAATCGGCAGCAGCGCAGGTAGAAGACTTGATCGGACATCTGCACGAGTCGTCGCTTCTGCTTGATGACATCCAGGATAGCTCCGAGCTCAGACGCGGTCGGCCAACTGCCTATCGCGTCTTTGGGGTACCACAAACCATCAATGCTGCAACCCATGCACTTACTCTAGCGTTTGAGAAGTTTGTCCCATTGATGAAGCCAGACAGCTCACACGTATTCTTCGGTTAGACCCTACCCAGAATGATGATGATTATATGTTAGCTGACCGAGGTAGATGAGCTGCGCAACCTTCATGTTGGACAAGCGATGGACCTCTACTGGACACGCTCTGGATATCGTCCTTCGATTGCAGAGTACCTGGACATGAACCGGCTGAGTAAGTTTCTGTACAGCCACAATCACACCCCGAGCTGATACTGATGGGGAGTTTACAGAAACCGGCGCACTGTTTTGCCTCGCGAGCAATCTATTATCTAACCAAGGGTCATTTTCAGCTGGGTAAGTAGAGGAATACCCACCCCTGCAGACATGGTGGTACCAACAAAATAGCAGAGCTATTAAGCAAACAAATCTGAACGATCTTATGATCGCTCTGGGCCATTATTTCCAAGCTCGAGACGACTATATCAACCTGGCGTCAACCAAGGTAACTATCTAACATGCAAGTTGAAGAATGCATCCGTCTAACAACATACCACCGAAATTATAGTATCAAGAGCAAAAGGGGTTTGCGCAGGATCTCGACGAAGGCAAATTGTCGCTTCCGTTGATCCACCTTCTGACACAGTCGCCGAACGCGGCCCTGATCGAGATTATCCAGCAGGAACGAGTGAGACATAACAAGCTGCCAGCTGACCTGAAGCAACTGATCTTGGATGAGATGCGTGATCAGAAGATTCTGCAGCTCACCGAAGAGACACTGAATGGTTTAGAGGCCAAGGTGTACCGGCACCTGGAAAGACTGGAAGTTTCCACTGGGATCAAGAACTTTACGTTCCGGTTCTTGCTGGATAGATTGAGGGAGATGTAATTACTTGCCATTTCTGGAAATCATTCTAACGTCTCTTCGTTCAAAGGAAAATCATAGTAAATGAAAGTGATGGATTAAATGTGGGATCCAGACATCTCCACCTGTCAAACAAACACAATCTCAGCCACAAGATTTAGCAAAAGTCAAATTCCGACGGAATGCCAGCATCGACGCCAGATCGATCGCGCAGTGGATCATTCTTCAACAATGGGAAAACCCATAATTAGAATTAGATGGATCTCGTCAACTACCGGAATGGGAAACTGAGAGAGCCGAAATAGACCCTAATGAGGACTGATCATCCCTGCCCATTCTGGATGAATAAATGGTTCGCTATGCTTTAGTGCAGGGATGATCGGCAGTCATCAGAGAGAGTGAGATTGAAGAAAAAGGCAAAAGAATTGTGGGTTCGGTTCGGTTCGGTTCGAATCGAATCCTTTCCCCGACAATCATGTCATCATATAAAATTATCACCATCAGTAAACCAACAATTCTCACCATAGCAAGATAATCAAGACTATCGATGGTATTAGTGTCCTGCTGATGGTGTCAGGCAGGCAAAAATATTCGGAGAGTGAATGGGGCCTCGGAAGCTTCGGGTCGAGCTAAAAGCGAGGCTAACAGAGTTAGTGGCTTATCAGCAGCTCGTGGTCAAATTGCCGACATTTGGATTCTCCCCTTGGCTTTGGGCGGTACCATGGTTAGTGCGTTGGCATGATTGAGTTGGTTGGTGCCAATCAATCGATTGATTCTACAGGGTTGGAAAGGGGGGCATTGCACAACCGGAGAAAACTTCACGCTTTCGCCACTTCCATACCCTAACCAATCCGAATGTTCCGAGGGAATCCAGTTCAGGCACCCACGATTCCTCGGTCGTGCAGCTACTAAATTAGCATGATAGAGAGAGAAATTAAAAGAGAGAAGGCGCCATCAACCAAAGCTTAACGAACGGATCAAATCATTCCCACCGAACTATGTACTAGTCAGCATCGGGCGCCCCACTGCTGATATGGAGGAAGTCAGAAAGAACCTTCACATCGCCGAAGCTTTTTTACGAGTATTTATCTCCGCTTGCCCCTCTTGACCTCTCTTCAGCTGCTTATTCCCCCCCTCCCCCTTTTATCGCCTACAATATGCGTCGCATCGCCACTGCCGCTCGTTGATTTAGTATCTCCGCCCTGGATGGTTCCTGCATCACATCCAACATGAATTTTAATGTCCGACAGGTGCAGACGCAGCTCTTCCGGCTGACCGTCTCCACCGCTTCCCTCTGTTTCCTGCTCTTCCTCTACATCTCCTTTGAGTGGTCGCCATCTGCCTCCGCTGGATCCAGCGCATCGAATCACGAAGATGATCTCGATTCCGCCGTTCCCGCCATCTCCGCCTGCAATGGCTTCAACCCCGCCACGGTAGCTGATGTTCTTGATGAGACCCTCACCGCCAAACTGCCCATCAATGGCAGCGCTGTCGATGACTTTGTATGCAGCATCATGACTCACGATATGAGTCTGTCTGCGAAGCTGGACTGTCCTACGACCATCAGCCCGCGCTATGCCGATCTCCCGGTTCACGCATCCAAGAGCCTCCTTTCGAAACCTAAGATCAAGTATTTCTTCGCTCTGGATCTCTATCAATCCGCTCACATTATGCTTCCCTTGATGGGCACTATCGTCGAGACGATGCGCTTCCTCGGTCCCGAGTATTGCGCTCTCTCCATCGTTGAGGGTCGTTCCACCGACGGGACCTATGATATTCTCAATCGGTTAAAGAGCGAGATGGCCGCCATGGGCGTGAGATACTATCTCTCCACCAGCGATCTCAACCCCAAAGCTGTATGGGAAGACCGTATCAAGCACCTCTCGACCCTGCGCAACCAGGCGCTCGAGCCGTTAGTCTCTGCTGGAGCAGGCAAACTTAAGCCATACGCAGCGGACGCAACGATCCTGTTCATCAACGACGTTGTCCTCTGCGTAGAAGATCTGCTCGAGTTGTTGTATCAACACCAGAAGCAGGACGCGCGCATGACTTGTGCCTTTGACTGGAATGCCGCCGGTGGGCCATTCTACGACTCATGGGTATCGCGCAGCATGTCCGGCAACCTCTTCTTCGAAATTACTCATGATGCGCGGTACTGGCTCACCAAGGACATGTTCTTCGATGACCAGCCAAATCAGCAGCGATATGCAAGGAAGCTGCCGGTGCAGGTCTATTCGTGCTGGGGTGGCATGGTCATCCTGGATGCGGCGCCCTTTGTTCAAAGAAAGCTTGAGTTCCGCAACCACAAAGATGGCGAGTGCCATATGGGTGAGCCCACGTTGCTGGCCAAAGATATGTGGGGCCAAGGACTGGGAAAGATTCTGGCAGTGCCTTCAGTGAATGTGGCGTATGAGTACAAAGCAACTCGTGAGGCCAAGAAGGGCCAAGGATACGTGCACAATGTCCTTGAAAGTGCAGACTACAAAGCGGGTAAGGAAATGGTTGTATGGGAGAAGGAGCCACCCGTTCGCATCAAGTGCATGCCTTTGTTCAATCAACAATCATGGGTGAAGTCTACATGATTATACCTTTTGTATTTATATCACATCTCTTTGAAGCCTAGATATAGATATTACTGATACCCCTACATGAGCCATGCAATATCTGAAGTTCCCATTTCCTTGCAATCGTCTGATGCATCATGGCTCCGCTGCCACTCATGCTTGCCCAATTTCCAGTTTAGCCGGTCACAACCGTTCACTACTTGGAACGGTCGTCTTGTCGCACCGTGACAATTAAAACGGTGGCTGTAAAATAAGAGTGCGTGTGTTAACTTCTTCCCACGGACGTGTTCTTCCTTCCACGGAAATTCTTGACTGTCTCAGTATCTTCAACTGCCTCTGGATACTGCCTGCTTTTCACCGCAAGTATCCCGGTTAGAGCAATACCCTCGTTACTGCTGATCAGCATAAAAGGCACCTGCATACTGCATGCAAGGGTCATATTCTATCCATCTATTGGTCAGCTCACCGACCAGGGAGGCCTACATCAACAACGGAAATGGCGAACAACCAAGCTGTCCAAGAAGTCAACGAAGCAGACGTTCTTCGTGCCATAACTTACCACCGCCGAGACTTCGAGCTGGCGGTAATTAGAATCAGACCGTCCGAAAACGAGAAAGTCCTACCTGGCATCAAGGATGCATTCAACCGCCCATTTAATCCAGCGAAGCCCGGCCCTTTGGACTACCTGCCGGTCGAAATCTTCCACAAATGTCTCCTGGGCTTAGACCTCAAGACTCTCTTTGGGCTTCGCCATGTCAACGCCCGTACCCGCGACATCGTCAGCACCTTCAAACCATACCAGAAAGTCATGGTGTACGCCCAAGATCTCGTATGTGCACTCCTCCGCACCGGGCTGGCAAAATAGTACACCTTGGACGACATCTTCGACGTCCTCCACACACGAGAGTGTACAATCTGCGGTGCCGAATTCGGCGGATTCGTCTTACTCCTCCCTCCCAACCTTACCAGATGTTGCTTTCCTTGTGTCCGCACCAAATCCGAAGTCGGCATACATGTCATCGACCCCATCACCCGTCGCTTCAGCTTCGAGCGCGATTACGAGCTAATCACCCTCGCTGAGGCCCACAACCTCTATGGAGTGAGCCCAGCAGTTCTGCGCCGCGAAAACGTGCCCATCTTGAAATCACTCCCCGGGGTGTATGGCCTGAAAGAAAAGGAGCGTAAAATGCGCCACTCGCTCGTGCACGACAAAGCGGTCCGCGAGCTCAGCACAAACCACAAACGCGGCCTTCCCTGGTCGGATACATCTCAACGCAGTGGGGAGATGTTCCTGCGGTGGTGCATGGCGACGATTGCACTGCCTTGGGTGGATCCGGAGACTGGGGAGATTGATCGTGGGGTCTCGTGCAGGGGCTGTCAATGGCGGTTTGAGCAGGTCTCGTCTGACGAGAGAAGTTTCGGATCGTTGTCTGCGCCCAGAGATAAGGTATACTCGAAGTATTGGTTTCTGGTGCACTTTTGGGGTTGTACACATGCGAATAAGCTCTGGAAGGAGAGTAAGGAGGGGACGGTGGTGGTGGGGGATTCGGAGTTTGTGCGTCGGGGTGGCTTTATCAAAGACCGGAAAGATGATATTGCCTTGAAGGTGGTTGCTAGAAAGAGCGAGCCCTAATTCTACGATTGGATAGGCAGCATCGCTGCGGATTTTTACTGGATGGTGGTTTCCAACGACATCTTGACGCCGATTTGGTCGCTGTCGAGGAGTTGGTCGGCTCGTGAAGTTTAGGTTCCAGTCGAGGGAGCGTGGTTGGATAGGCGTTGGATCTTTTGCTGTGGTCATGGGGGATATCTGGAAATTTGTGACGGGGCAAGGACATTTCGCTCAGGGATATCTACTTTCAAGATGGACACTGGAACGGGTTAACAAGGGAGCTATTGCTCTGTTGTACATAATCGTAATATTTTCACTCCAGAATGACATTTCGCAAGAAGCTTCTTTATCTGTAGCTGTCTTGACAAATCTAGTAAACATAGAATACTACAGAGTCATGGAGAATGGGGAGACAGTATATCACGTCATCCATGGCCAGAAGATTTATATTCATTCTTTTATCGCCATCCCCTGCCCCAATACGCACAATTGATGTCGGGATGTACTACTATATCTCTATTTCCATCTCCTGATCATACCCGACGGTATACTCTTTTCAGATTACAATCAATCCCTAAAATCAAAACAGAAAGAAGCTCTCGGATAGAGGAGGAGAGTATATAGTAGTCCTTCCAATTCATTTCCTCAAATAAGATATTCGAAGCTACTAGTACGTTTATTGAAATTGGGGTTTTGATACGGATGACTTCATAGCTTAACATTCAGGGTGAGCCACACTTCCAGTGCAGAATGTTAGTTGACTCGCTGACTTGTCGGGATTTACATGTTTGTCTGAGTTGAAGCAAATGCAACAAACAACAGTGCAGAAAGTATGTAACATGTGCAATGTAGTAGTGAATACGAGTTCATCCAAATATCAACACAAACGCCGAAAACCTACATAGCAACACAGACCGTTCAGAATACGTTAGAAGTTACTGATAGCGAAGTCTTTCAGGTCTGATCATGGTAGTTTAGCTTTTAGACAGAGAAAAACTTTGATATTTGCATGGTTTATGAGTATTTAAAGCGCCGGTTATAAGAATGAGTCGACATAGATAAGACTACTAAAGGGAGTCAAGATTGTAGGCGGCAGTAACTATATAATCGTACTGTAAGGCCTCGTGATTCTTCGTCTTATTCTAAAACATTCATCTCAATTATTTGTATATTTGACCGGCTCTGCTATACAAGAGCCAAGGCCCATATTGTCCCGTCGGAGAACTAGATCTGGTGATGTACCCCTTTTAGTGTAGGTATGGCTCAATTGCTTCAGATTTATATTGATGCTAAGTGTCTCCCAGTCAAATGCCCCTTCAATAGATAGGCAATCATGTTAATCATAAAGATGGAGCAGTCAATCGAGTAGCGTACCTAACCACTAGAGCCCGCTAGCAATTGGTTGTCGGGGTTTGGGTTAGAACTGGGAGTTCCATAAAGACCGAATGGCATGCAAGCCGAATTGCTCGACAGGTACGCTGAATAAACCCGTGCAAGTGCATTTATCCCTCGCTAATCTCATACAATTACCGTACGAATATCGTCGGATAAATCGGATTTCTCTCAAAGATATCCACCCATGTCAGCCTGCTTTGTTGTCAAAAAGCGGTCTCGGACATATACAGCCAGCTGGTCTTGTTCCGCCGACGATCGGGCTCGGCGATGACACCCCGTATCTCCGGACTTAAGTACGTACTTTGTAGTCCGGATACGGAGCTTGTTCAATGCAACGTCTCCGGAGATGTCACTGCATGGTCGTATCTCCGACATCTCGCCGACGATAAATCGTACCAAATGGATTGGAAATTAGATTCAAGAAGGTCGGCAATTGCATGTTTGGTCCGTCTCGGCTGCTATTTTCCGGACTGCGGCCATTTATCTCCGACTGAGTGGTTAACTAATGTAGTTCTCTTGATTTGTCGGTCTTTGCATAGGTGGATGGAGTTATGGGGAAATATTTCTTGATAGAATGGAGAGTGCAGTCTGTAGCTACTGCGCTTCTTCAGTGTTGAAGCTGATACGAGAGCTGGCTGCAATTGGAGAAATCAGGAATCAGAAGGAACGGCATATTTCCCGGAACGTGGAAGGTATAGCGTCGCCCTCTTAGCATCACACGTTGGTAGCAAATCGAACAGTCTCCAAGAACTTGATATAGTGCAAAGCTTCTACAACATGACAGTGAATGAACTATAATTGATAGAAAGCCTGTTGCCTCGTGGGAAGAAACCAGCCGCCGACCCAACTGATTTCCTCTCAGCTGCCGCGCTTCTACTTCAGCAGCATCTTGACCATACCTCAAGTCCATTCGCCGAAACCATATAACGGTGTTCTCCGAAGATTCCGATGTTTTTTCCTAATGGTGACGCGTCTCTCAGTAAGCATCTTGACAATATCTTCATGCATATTCTGTGTAGCGATCCGAAGTGGTATATAAAGCCACTGGTTATCAGCTTCATCTGCAGCACCTCTCTCAAGGAGTTTCTGGACAATGCCTCCATATCCCTTTGCTGCTGCCAGTGCTAGCGGTGTTCTATAGCCCCGCTGATCCTTGGTTTTAATTGCAGCGCCTCTCTCTAAAAGCATGTGAACAATGTCTTCATGTCCATTCTCTGCAGCTAGAGATAGTGGTGTCTGACTATTTTGATTATTAGGCTCAATTACAGCACCTCTCTCAAGAAGCATCTGAATAATATGTCTGTGCCCGTTCGCTGCAGCTAATGTTAGCGGTGTCAGACTGTCTGAATTCATGGTCTCAATTGAGGCGCCTCTCTCAAGAAGCATATGAACGATGCCTTCCTGTTCATTTTCTGCGGCCAGTGATAGAGGTGTCTGACTGCGCGAATTCATGGTCTCGATTGAGGCGCCTCTCTCAAGAAGCATATGAACGATGCCTTCCTGTTCATTCTCTGCGGCCAGTGATAGAGGTGTCTGACTGCGCGAATTCATGGTCTCGATTGAGGCGCCTCTCTCAAGAAGCATACGAACGATGCCTTCCTGTCCATTCTCTGCGGCCAGTGATAGAGGTGTCTGACTGCGCGAATTCATGGTCTCGATTGAGGCGCCTCTCTCAAGAAGCATACGAACGATGCCTTCCTGTCCATTCTCTGCGGCTAGTGATAGAGGTGTCTGACCATTCAGATTTTTTGCCTCTATCCCGATATTACTTCGAGTCAACAGCAACCATACACCACCTTGATTTCCTGCTTCCGTGGCCACCAATAATGCTGCTGGGTCGATGGAATGGGCCGGCAGTTTGACCTCGTCATAAAGATGGATACTCTCTGGGGAAATGTCGTCTTGTTTAGCGGCGACTCGCTTGCGCGTGAGCATCGTGCGACCCCCTCGGACACAAATCCTTCTCACAGGATATTGATCCGGTCGAAAGGTTTCAAGATTGATAAGTCGGAAAGATTCGCTATGAACCCTCTTGAATTGACTCATAGTAAAATCCAGATCCTTCAAGTAGATGGCTATCACCTTATCTTGCTGGGTTCCTTGTGTGCAGGTTCTTTCCTTGCAATTAAGGATTGCGAGACCTAGGCCGTCGCCTGATATTCCTGCGAAGCCAATGTCTAAATGCACCCCTCTACTATCGACAGTGAAAGGGCTGTCAAGACTGTTAAAAGGATTGAATCGTACAATGTTGTGGGAATGGGCGAATGCGGCAGGAGAGGTGGCGAGAAGCCCGCCGCGATCATCTGAAGACGCCCATGCAAAAAGACTCTGATCGTCTGAAATGCGCATGATTTCCTCCTGAAGTCTGATGAACGCATTCTCGCCCTCCCCGTAGATTAGCGGCATGTTGACGTTGAATATGCCCATGAGGGAATAAGCACGGTCTTCCACTCTCCGCGTCTGTCGTTTCGCAGCCCATGACATCCTCTGTGCGACGCTAGACGTTTCAAGGTCTTCTTCTCCGGAAAGAATGCCGGCAGGAATTCCAGTGTATTCAGACAATCGGTCTCGGAGAGTTGCTCTATCTCCCAGAACTTCCCATCTCTCATTCAGAAACATCACCCTTGATGGAGCAATCAGCTCCTGAAGGGTCCAACCTCGAGTAAGCCATCTACTCTTGTAGATTTCATCTTCAGATTGTACGTCCGCAAGAATGGCGTAGCATAAGTCAGACTTTTGGTACCACAGATACATGGAGTTGATTGCCTCCGACAACTCCGCGCTGCTCGTCTTGTCAATGCAGCATGTATCGATCCAGACATACTTATGCCCATCTGCCCTTGCTACCGAGCAGCACTGTATGATTTTGTTGTATCCGCTCTTCTCCTTCGCGCTGACCGCGTTAATTTCCTGATAAGTGACTTCCTCTTCGCCCCAGGTATGTGACAAAATCGCGTAGGGCGGTAATTCATAATCGAAGAATTCCTGGATTACGAAGTCCCCGGTGTCAGATAAGCATGTGCTTAGCAGACGCATAGTGTAAGTTGGCCCAGATATTTCGTCTTGAACGTGAATAGTGCTCTTTATCCGTCCAGTGGAATAATGGAGTCGGAAGCAATGCGTGAAGACTTCAAGGGCAGCCAGCCTCATCGGCCAAGTCATTCAGCAATCATTCTGGCGGTCGCTTGATGAGTTGGCGAGGCTGAAGGACAGGGATGTGCCCGTTTGCCTTTAGCTAGCACAGCCTCATTCTGTGGCGGTCCGCATCAACCTTGTATCCTCCACCATGACAACAGTGAAGCAATACTCTCTAAGGAGGTAGACTTGTAGATCACAGTGCCAAGAGAAAGCTCTGGCAAATTTGCTGCCCAAGTCCGCGCTGTCATAATGTTTCCGAAAGAAAGTCGGTTGTGCGAAGGCAAGATCGTTCAGAGGTGAGTCCTAATGGTCCTCGTTGTAGCATCACGTGCTCTTGGAAGGCATTGATCCTGGACAGACAACGTCCCAACGTACACTCATCGAATTCGTCCAGAAGGAAAGCTCTTCACCGATACAGGGACCCCTCTGCAATGATCTGATCGAAGGGCCAGGGTCTTCGAGACACGAATACAATCGGAAATCCAGTATAGAAAAGCATCTTGCCACCCTCTGCAGGGTAAAATCATTCCTGTCGGACAGCTCATGCAGTTTGGTGGAGTATCATGACAAGATTGCTGGAACAATGAAAGACTGAAGATGGTAACACTTCGCAAGGAGCCATAATATTTAGAGCTTTAGTGACCACCACTCTCGATATGAAAAGAAAGTGGAAGAGCACTTGTAGGCATGGAACAGTCACCTTGTTGGTTGTCAACTTGGCAGTGTATTTGAG